ACTCCGACTACTTCGACAACACCGAAGACACCTTGCAATCAACCTGGGACTACATGACGGAAGCTCTCGAGGAACTCGAACCGGTCGTAAGCGCCAATCAGTCTCTCGATTCTAGCATCTCGCGTCCCGACACTTCTGCGCTCTCTATGTCGCAGCTTCCGCAAATTCGACTACCGCCGTTCGACGGGAATTATGCCGAGTGGGAAAACTTTCGCGACCGATTTACCGCTCTGATCATTAAGAATAAGTCTCTTAGTGACTTCGCGCGCATGCACTACCTCGCGTCTTCCTTAAAGGGTCGAGCCCTTGATAGTATTAGCAATATCGCGGTGACATCAGATAACTTCAACATTGCTTGGAGCGCCTTAACGACTCGTTTTGAAAATAAACGGCGCCTCATTGCATCTCACTTCTCGTCCTTGCTGGGATTAACCGGAGTCGCTCGTGAGTCCGCCTCCGAGTTGCAGGCTCTCTGCGACAAAATTAATATTGCCGTCGCGTCACTTAAAGGCCTCAATCGTACACCAAGTGATCTTTGGAACGACTTTCTTGTTCATTTGTTATCGCAAAAATTGGACCCTTCTACTCGGAAGTCATGGAATTTAAAGACAAGCGACGCGGAAACCCCTCCGACATACGAGGAGCTCACGCGCTTTCTCGCCACTCGTATTCGCGCGCTCGAAGACAGCAGTCCCGCGGCGGCAGCGAAACCAACGAAGACAACGAATCCTCGCGTTCATGTGGCAAATGCGTCGGCCACCGCGACGACGGCGTGCCCCCTGTGCAAGGCCCGTCATTACCTTAGCGCATGCGTAAAGTTCACCGAGCAGAGTCCGACTCAACGCCGAGAAACTGTCAAGCGCCTCAAGCGGTGTTTCAACTGCCTGAGCGCCGCTCATACTGTACAAGACTGCAAAAGCCAGTATACTTGTCGCACTTGCCAGAAGCGACATCATACACTACTCCACGTGGACTCGGATTCTGCCTCGAGTGTCGTCTCATCCCCCGCGCTTGCAACGCAGTCCGCGCAACCGAGCGCTGCGTCCAATGATGTAACGTCACTGCTCGCGTCCGCGACGACTCGCGATCGGGTTCACGTACTCCTCGCGACCGCGCGCGTTAAGATCAGTGTATCCTCTGGGCGTTCTATCGTATTGAGAGCTCTCATTGATCAGGGCTCAGAGGCGACGTTCATTTCCGAGTCACTGGCACTGACTCTCCGAGCAAAGCGCATACGGATGCCGACTACCATTTCGGCCGTAGGCGGCGTCAAACTCGGATCTGTGAGACACGCCGCGGAT